AAATAATTACTTTTAGAACGGTGCATTACAATTCTCCCCCACTTAAATATGATTTCGCCCTCGAAATCGCCAATTGCCAACTCTGGCTACCCAAATCCCGAAAGGAATATTCACGCCCCTAAAGCGTGACGACCACCAAGGAAGGCTAATCCCACTGGAGCTCCAACTTATAGAAATACTTACTCATTCACATGTAGTATCAATTATCTACATCCCAGGAATGCCCTTTACTTAGAAAGTTAGATTGGATCTGTCTCCCTGACCGGTCGCCCAAAATAACCATCACCTGCCCTCTTCCCATTGCTATCAAAAGGACCACTCAACCCCGAGGAACCTAAGCTTCCGACCCAAAATAGAATCGCTGGTCCTATCCTGCTGTCGACGACACTTGCTCTCTTTTAACTCATACCCAAACGTGCATAAAATAGTACCCTTACAGAAACCAACACTCACACCTGGTCCAATCAGCCTCGGGCTGGAATACCAGGCATGCTTGCGACGGGTCTGCTCATCCCTAGGATGGAATACCCTCGCATCCCTACACATGTTTGGCCCAATAAACCCTCGGGTTGGAATACCAAACACATCATGTCCAATCAATCATAGGGTCCGATCATCCTCATGATGGAATACCCTAGATTTGCATAGCACTACACACATACCTCAAGTTCTACAATCATACTTGACGCCTAAGGATCCAACCTTGCAGCTTCTTCAAAGCTACTCTGATTCGACTCCATCGAGTGTAACTCACCAAATCCCATCATCACGTCTACTCCAAACGTACCAAGACAGAGAATATTACTATCGTGATCTCTAGATCCACAACCTACTACTGATACATCCTCACACGGTCCTCAACACTGGTCTAGACTACTCCTGAGTCTATCAACTCCTCTATATCTAGATCCTCTGTCCATACTTCCAAACCCAGATCTACTAACCTTCTCCTCTTCCAAGGTGACTTAAACCATAACTTCACATCGTCATTCCTTGCCGTAGAGACATATCCTCACTCTACATCACCCACTGATGGAGCACATCGCTATCTTATAGCACGCATACATACCCAGGACTAACCGCATAATCATCAATCCATACATAGCCCTTCGCATATCCCTCATTATTCCAACGCTTGGGAGTAATCCCCATTGGTTGCTATCGCATAGCAGCATCCTCGATATTCGCTCAAAATCCATAATACACATAGTGTCCTTATCAAAACTGGACCTCCTCATCGTAACACTCCCGAACCGACATCCAAACTGCGTCAGGCGACATCTTTCAAAACAACGTCCCATCCGAGAATTTCTAATTCTCCCCCACTTAGAGCAATAACCACTATCTACTGGCGTCAAGCTAGCATGCTGCTCAATCGACCCAAACTGAAACATCGAACTTCAAGGAATCCGAGTTTCTGCTAACGTTTTTGAATCTTAAATCATGACCTTTCCTTTTCTTGAACACATCCCCGAATACTAACCCTCTATAAATTCTCAATACTGACTCTTCACAGCTGTCACCTTTGGTGCTGTCCCGATCTCCTCGGTCACAAGCTGATAAGAACGCCCTGGAGCCTTCGGAGGCTCTACTCGACCCTGACCCCCGTCAGTAAGTCTCAAAGTGGCTGGAGCTGGGGCCTGCACTGGCCTGTCAGCCAAGAGAGGACACTGAGCCTTCATATGGCCCACCTGCTTACAATGATAACAAAGTCGAACTCTGGCAGTTGGAGCCTGTTGCCTCCAATCCCTGGCTATGTGGCCCTCCTTGCCACACTTGTGGCACCCAGAAGAAGAACGACAACTTCCTTCATGTACCTTGCTGCACTTTCCACAAGTGCGACTCCTCTGACCTCCCTGTCGATAATCAACGGCCCTCATCAGTTTTGGCGCATGTTGCGATTGCACCGGGGGCTGCCTCTACTCTCTCAACTGAAGCTCGATCTCTAACTCGCTCCGCCTGGCAGCCTCCTGCAACTCAAACAAGGTATCACATCTCTGCGTAGACACAAACTGTCGATTATCTGTCTTAAGCATGCTCAGATACCGGGTCATCTGAGCCTTCTCCGAAACAAATTCAGGGCAAAACATCTCCCTCTCCGTAAACATCCTGGTGATCTCCGTCACCGACTCCGAATCCTGCTTCAATTCCAAAAACTCCTGAGCTAAACTCTCCTGCTCCACCCGCAGAACATAACGAGTACTGAACATGTCTCGAAACTGATCCCAATTAATCGCAGCTCGCCGCGCATCAGAATATGATCCCGTAGTCAACCCCCACCAATCCTTTGCCCCGAACCTCAGCAAGTTCAGAGCACACCTCACCTTCTGATCAGCATGGCATGAACACATGAAGAAACATCCCTCCACGTTCGACAACGATCTCATAGCAACAATCGGATCCTAAATCCCATCGAAAGTAGGTGGCTTCGTACTATCGAAGTCTCGATACTAAAAGCCCCGACCGGCTTCTCCGCCTGCCGCTGTTACAGCCGTTGCGGCTGCAACGAAAACCGTCTCTGCAAGAATTGCATAACGCTCATTGAAGTACTCAACCATGACGGTCTTGATCGACCCAAACAACTCTGGAAAATCCGCTCGAAACGTAGCCGCAACCTCATCATGTAGGATATCACGAATCCTAGCATCCAACTCATCCGTCCTCATCTGACCAATAACGTGGGGTGGTGCTGATCCATCCTGACCACCCTCTCCTGATCCCGATCCTGAACCGGATCCTGCCCCGAAGCGTGTCGTAATCACCATACTTTAATATACCAAAAGATCGTTAGATACTCCTCATAACAGCCCGGGAACCAACTTCTAACCAACAACCCAGGGGTTGTGACTTCCTTGATACGCGTATGGGTCCTGTGCTTTCAGTAGTACGGGCCCATACTACCTTCAACACCTACCCATATTTGTCTCAAGTATCACCACAACGCCCTTAACATATACACACATAGCGAGCGCTCAATCCTCACTCCTAGATGAATGCTAAAGGTCACATAACTGGCCTCCCGACCTCTCATAATCCACCCATCCATGAAACTTTCACTAACCCTGCAGCACTAGTGTATGCTAGTCATACATGATGTTGGACCCTATAGACTTTCAAATATCCAATCCTACCCTAATCTCCCAATCAGATAAGAACATAACATAAGGCCAAATCAAACATTCTCAGGCTATAAGATCTTAATTATGTATAACTGTGATGCATACACAAGTATCTACAGTAATGATATCAATTTCATATAAAGAAAACCCTACTCTAGCAGGCATCATGTAATCAGACAATTCTATCATGTAATTCCTGAAGATCCCTAGCCTAGTACTAGCATGCTGTTCTAACATATCACACTACCATATAACTATATGGTATTTTAGGGTCTACTTACTGGCTTCGGCTGATCGTACACTTCACATCCTCTTTTACTTATTTTGAAAACCATTTAAAATTATTTTGAAAACTTTTCCTTGATTTGATATTGGATTCACACGAATGTTCCTCTAATTCACTCAAACCAAGACTCTGATACCGACTTGTAACACCCATATGATTCAAGACAGTTTAAAACTTTTTAAAACATTTAAAGCCATTAAGTTATTACAATTTGTTTTCAAAATAATCTAAGCATCAGAGTATCCCCAGAATCAATCATGAAAATATGAGGAGGTGCACGATCACACCTTCGCCTTCCCGCGATCATCAAAAGTACCTGAAACAAAATCAACAACTGTAAGCCCGAAGCTTAGTGAGTTTCCCCAAAATACCAACGCCATACAAGTATAACCATATCATATAACAAATACATACAACATGCATAATGAGCCTTCAGCATGACTGGACTGCCTCCTACGGGCCTACAACTTATCTGGACTGCTCCCGAGCTTTCGGCATGACTGGACCGCCTCCTACGGGCCTACAGCCTATCCGGACTAGGGTTGATCCCTTATGTTCTTTAAATAGTGCCTGACCCTAAAATTAGGGCTTTATGTCTCTGAGCGTACGTTGGGTGCAACTCTAGTACGCTGGGCGTACGCGTCCTTGTACCCGCGATCATGCACTCTATTATGCTGGGCGTAACCCAGCCTACGCTTGGCGTACCCACGCGTGTCCCAATCATGCATGGCCTTTCCTTGTCAACTTTTCCATTAAGTGCCATAAATGTCAATATCTTCAAAGTGTCATAACTCCTTTATTCTAAGTTCGTTTCCGACGAACTTTATATCCACGAAAAGGTTGCGAGAAGCCCTACGCTTCTAGCAACACACCCTAGTCTGAAACCTTCTCGAATGAAACCTGTTACCCCTAAAAGACCAAAATGCCCTTACTCTTGATCTCAGGAAGCCAGAAATAATTACTTTTAGAATGGGGCGTTACATCATCCATGCCTTGGGTGTCAAATTTCGTGTGGTACAGCTCCAACTATGCAGGAAGATAGTCTCGATAATCTTTAGGAATTAATCTTCAAAGAATATGTTCATATCGCCAGCCCTTCCCATTACTTTGATCGTTGGTCGCTTGTGAATGGTAGATGCAATTTCTTGATCCATTTTCGTCACTTCATGAATGTAACAAACAAGCATTCGCTTGATGTGGTCGATGATCGGCTGATAATCTTGTGGATTGCACAACAAAATGTTGTTGAGGAGTATCGAGTCGTGAGGATTAAGGTTAGGAAGATCAGCAAGGGAAATGGTATGAACCGAGCTATCTGAGCCTCGAGTTACTTTGAATTTGATGTTGACAAATTTCCCCGCTGAATAAGGCTTCAGTACCTTGATAGTTGTGATCTTCTGTGAGCTCTATGTCAGGTATTGTGGCTGAGCGAATTCCAGATAGAATTCCAACATATCCTGATCTACCTTCGGGTCCGGAGAGGGAATGCAAGCGATTGAGTTGAAGCAATGAAATATAAATGCCTTTCGAGTGATTGGCATATCATATTGCGTATCCTTCGAGTTCTCAAGGCCAAATGACATGACTGGTTCGAGTCAAAGAGTACTCGGTTCATCTATTGCTTCTTTCTGGAGCGAATCAATGTTCCATTCTAGAAAAATGGACTTCTTTTTCTTTAAGAGCTCTTTTTCTTTTAGCTTCTTCTCTAGCTCCGCCGATTCCTTCGCAATCTTTTCTGCAAGCTCCTTGTCAGAAAGTTTTGTTTTCTGAAAAGGATCAGAGGGATTTTCACCTAAAGTATCTTCAAAACCAACATCTTCATCTGTATCATCTTCACCAATTTTCTTCTTCTTTTTATCCCTTGTACTGACCGAAACTTCATTATCCTTCGGTGCGGCTATTGATTTGGGTTCGGGAGGAGGTTGAGTATTAACCTTTTCCATCTTCTTCTCTCCGCCTTGTTTTGGCTGGATAGAAGTCACGGAAACACCCTCTATACGATTAAGAATGGCCAACGCATGTATGAGTTTGTCAGCTAGATGGCGTCGGATGGATATAGTCAGAATGGATTCATGGGTGTCAAGAAGATGTAACAGGATGGAGTGAATGTCACCCACAGAGCTTCTAATTACTTCTCTTTCAGACTTCAAATCATTGAGCTCAGTTGTAACAGAACGAAGCTTAAGATTTTGCATTTTGAGCTGAGAAGTATGTTTGTCAAGCTCATCCATTATCCGATTTTCAACAGCCAATTCAGCTTCCAGCTGAGTGAGACGATAATTCACAATCTATAATATGTAGATGTCTGTAAAGAATTTTAACTTTTTATTTTTAATTCTCATTAATTTTATTTATCCTAGCATTACTCTTATTGATAATTGTTAGATTTAGTAAACTATTTGCCCAAATGAAATAAACCATTCCCATAAATTAATTTTCGAAAAACTATCCGAACCCGTTCCTTGGTGCTGGTAAATGGCTAATATATATATATATATATATATATATATATATATATATATATATATATATATATATATATATATATATATTTCATTAAATGAACCCATATTAATTGCATATATTTCATTGTTCCATATATCGAAATTTTGATCATGTATATTTGATGGATAACTAAACGTGCGTATGTATAAAATCTTTAGTAGGTGCTAGGCTGAAATGGTTTTTTTTTTAGTAATAATATATTAACTAATAGATAAAACATGTGGTGAAGAAATTAACAATAGTAGTAGTGATATTATAATCATCCATGATTACAATTTAATATTGGCATGCATATAATAGGTAGTTAAGTGATTTAGAAGCAGTAGGTACGTAGCGTCCAAAAATATAGTACTTGAGATCATCTATTATATATATCCTATATATTCCTAGGTAGCTAATATTAAAGTGTTTTTTGTTTCAGTATTCATTGATGACGATGGTGGGTTTTTGATCTATCTAGAGCCTGATATGGATAGCCAAGTTGCCGGAGTTACTGTGTTGGACAAGCAAGACGACGAAGCAGAAGCAGAAGCGGAAGATGATGACTTGCTACTCTTCCTTTTTTGTTGTTGTTGTTGGGCTAATTCACTCTTCACCTGCTGCACGTACATGCATACATGCATCATTAAACTTATGTAATATGTAATTAATTTATCCAACTAATAGAGACTCACATGAGCAGTTGGCATGAGTTGTGGTGTTGGGATGTCATTGAGGTTGATGAGGCTGGTTGTTATTTTGTTGCCGTTATTGGTGGAAGAATGCGGATGGTCAGTGGAAACGGTGACAGTAACGGCGCGTCTCTCCGGCACAGGCTTCACTGGAGGAGAGGCAGGATGGTGGTTGTAGGGTAGCTGTGCCTGTGGTGGCGTGGAGGAATTAACAGATGGTGGAGTTGGGACCACCAAAAGATCCACAACCTGAGAAGAACAACAAGAGGCCGTGGTGTTGGTGGGGTTGTTCACCATGTTTGGCCACAGGAAAGTACCCTGTGGTCTGCAAAGTCTGAACCCACTTTTCAACCTCTCAATTTTCGCTGCTTTTCCTTCACCTGCAGGTGGTGCACCTCCCTCAGATGTCTCCTCAGGATCACCACCTTGTTTTGGTAGTGCCACAGCTTCTTTCTTTTTTTCGGTATGTTTTTTAGCAGCATCATCGGGGGCAGGGGCAGGGACTGTTTGGGTATTAATTAATTCTTCTGTGCCACTACTGCCACCTGTCATCTTGTTTGTCTCCGCCTGCATGCATGCAGTCATGTACATATAAATTCCAAATGTTTTATTTAATGCCATGCATATATGTGTGTACTCTGCCGTACCTATCGTATCACACTATATGGTATATACACATATAGTCATATACAAACAAAATTATAATAACTCCAATATTCTAAACAATCTCATGAATTAATTAATCATTAATGTTATCCTCCATTACATGCATGCATGCTCTACCTTCACACGCACATTATATAAAACCTTTCTTTATTTCACAAATTAACCAAATTTTTTCTTACACATGCCAAAATTTCTAATTTTTTCTTACGTGCTACCGGCCAACATGTTATCAAAAAGTCTTATATATGCCAAGTATTTTCCTTTTCTTGTTTTTCATTTAAGATTCATCTATTGAAAGCTAAACCCAAAAAATATATGGACGACCACTTACTGATCTCACAAGATATTAAATGCGTAACTCTTTATTAAGCATGCATTATTAACTGTTTTAAACTAGTAATTGATCATTTAACATCTATTATATCATGTATGTATATGACTCACCTCTACCTTCTTCAAAATGACCAACATTTCTTTCTTGCATTCTTCCTGCCAAAAATAAAATAAAACAAACAAACATGAGTAGATTAGAAAAGGAAAGATTTACAGAAATTAAAATGTAAAAAATATTGTACCCTTGAGACTCTTGAGTTATTTACATCAGACTCGGAATAAGGAAGCAATGAATTACAAAAATTGGTCAATTGCTTTGGACTTGTGTCAACACCTTCAGAAACCACAATAGCTTTATTTTCATCTTGATCCTTTATATTCTTTGAAATCAACTCCATAATATCCCTGTTTATTTAATTATACACATAAACAAAATTATTAAATTAAAGGTCTAAATAATTTTAAAAAAAAAACCTCAAGCCTATCATGCATGTTTCTTCTTATACCTTCTCAGATTTGCCATTTCTTCTTCAAACTGCTTCTTGGATAAAAACTCCCTATCAATTAACAAACGCAAATTAGGTACATTAAAACATTAAGCTTTTGTAAAATAAATTCATTAAATTTAATACCTTTTGATACATGAAATTTCTTCTTTGAGATGAGTAAGTTCTTTTGCCATGATCGGGTCCTGGATAGGAGAATCACCGGGCTTCCAACCAGGCGGCGGAGTCCAGAAAGGATCACTAACTCCGGCGTCTTTCCTAATTTTTAGAAGATCAGCACTTTCAAGCCAATATTCCATTGCACCATCAGCATTATGTGACCTTCGAAACCTCAAATCGCCACCTGGCGCCACCTTGTTAGCCACGTGTTTCAGGAGGTGGTCTAAGAGACCAGTGTCACCTATCCTCTTTCGAGCTTCAACTCTAAGCGCAGGTCTCGTAATCGGATTCCCAATCATCGCCTTCTTCTCTTTCATAGCTTCTAGAAGACTGAGCTCCGCCGCTAGATACCTCTCCTTTGACCACCTTTCTGTGGGGTCTTTAATGAGCCCTAATTTCTTGCACTTGTTCATCGGTTTTTTATTAACTAGCCATAACTGGTTGTTAGCTTGTTTCACACGCTTTCTTTTTCTCAAATTTCTTGTTTTTCTCAACCTTCTGTTAAGATTATCATCATCGTCGTCACCCTTCTCTTCTTCATCAACTTCATCCTCCTCCTCCGCATATCCACCATTGTTAACATCTTGTTCATTTTTCAGTTCTTCTTCGCCATGAACGAAGCTTGAAGAAGACTGCGTCGTTTTGCTCATATCTTTGTGTCTTCCAATAAACATAACTTGTCTTCTTACACCCCACCTTACCATGGCATTGTTCTTCAGTTCCTTGGCCAATCCGATCTCTTCAATTTTCATAGCAGCATGACCCGGCCCGACTTGAGAGTTTGGGTTCACCAGCCAGAAATTCTGCAGATGCTTCTTCTCGGCGAACTCTTGAGATGGAACTTGCCGGAAAAGCACTTTGCCGGCGAGTTTTACTCCCATTACAAACTTCTCATCTAAAGCGGGATACATCTCCGTGATTCCATGACTAAAATAAGTTCGTAATGACAGAATACTCGGATACCTAATCGCGACGTTCAAATCTGTCTTCTCACTCACCTGAAAATTCTCATTATCCATCAGCCAGACGAAAACATATTCAGATCTAATCAATAAAACAGTTTTTTTTTTTTTTTTTTTGTCAATTATTTACGAAGTGATTGATTACCATAACAACGCGAACGGATCTCAGTTGAACAGGAGTTCTAGGAGGAAGGTTTTTGTGGTAGATCTCGTAAACGGAGCCTAGTTGGACATCTTCTTCTAGGATTTCGTCTGCTTCACACATGAAATTACGAGAAGCCATTATCGATAATCGAGAAAGGAAGAATTGAAGGAAATATTTGGGTCTAGAAGTGATTATATGCTAAAAGGATAAGTTTGAAATTATACCGTTCCTTTGAAGCAGGAATTGTCTGGCCAAAGGTAATGTCTGTGCTTGTGCGCCGTCTAGTACGCTGGTTATTTCTTGCCTTTTCAAGCTCATTATCTCCTGCATCCACTAATGCTTTTTAGTACATCTCTCCTCAGTGATAAAGGATAGAGAGGAAAAAAAACAATACGGATTTCTGAAACAGAAAAGGCGAAATTCTGATTGTAATACATGCAATGCCATGCCCTAATGGCATCATGACAGGTTCTCTCTCAGAGAGAGAGAGAGAGAGAGAGAGAGAGAGAGAGAGAGATTACGTTGTGCGCGCTAATGGTGGCTCTTTTTGATCGTTTCCGATGGTAAGTTTCCATTTTCACAGTGAATTAAGCTGTAAAAATCTTACATGAGAATCAAAACAATATATATAAAAAGGAATGCATATTTGTTGATGTAATCATCAAAACTTATACATATGATCGAACGATGATACTTTTTCTCAACAAAATAAAAACGATGATATTTTCATAACTTTAGCGATATATACATTAATTTATCCACCGAAAAGAATGAAATAAGAACACATATTGTGTGTTTAGGGTTCTATCAGTAAGTTTTATTCAAAAACAACTTAATCGAAAGAAGAAGATATGAACTTATTCGCTGTGTGAATTTAGCATTACATAGAACACCATAAATATTCAGCAGAAAAGAATAAGCAGGAAAAAGCAAAAGGAATCAAGTGTTAAATGATATGTAGGTTTGACTAAAAAATGAAGTTAATATAACCTTAGAGAAAGCAGTAAGAACATTATTAAGAAGCTCATTGACTCCTTGCATTTATTCGAAAAAAGAAAGATATCAGAAAGCCGATCGAGACACAAAAGCTACATTTAATGGATTACCTTTTAAATCGCAGCAACTTTATCGAAAATTAATACTTGTTCTTCAGGGGAGAATATTCAATGTAGAAAGAATGATTGAAGAATTCAAGAGAAATGGAGAGGGTTTACTTAAATCGCCATGATCACAAAGATGAAGGTTTCTGCGTATCTTTTCTCTGATGCTTCTAGAGTGAGAAAGAGGGAGAGAGAATACGTATTCCGTTAGAAAATCTTGGAGAGAGAAAGTGAGAGGCATACGTGCCGCATCTCACGTGTTCTTGTAATAACACGGATGGCCACATTTACAACATTAAATTTACTGATATACCCCTTCCCGCTAATATTTCGTTTATTTATAACTATACAATTTTAATCTAATAAAATATAAATATTTAGAGCATTGGATTTACTTCTATAGGCTCTAGCTAATGAAAAATGTAATAAAATGGTAATAATATATCATATCTGTAAAGAGTTGTACAATACAACAATTTAAAGCATAAATTGTTGTGTATGGAAAAATTTTGTTGTGTACGAATCAACTCCTTCCAGCAAATACTCGTCTTTTTTTTTTTGGACACCAAGAAGAAAATATTTGCCATTGTTTTATAGTTTTGCAAATAATTTTTGGTGTCTCATTTTATAGTTTTATAAACGAGTGACAAATTTATATTATTAAAAGACTGTCTATTTCTTATAAATAAAAAAGATTTGAGTAATATAATTATCAATCTTTAAATATACAATTAATTTAGGAAAAATGATAAATAGGTTACAAGCCATCTTTTTTCTACATTTACTCATATAAGGGTATGTTTGGCGTACTAGCTTTTAGTTGAAAAACTAGCTGTTAAATAAAAAACTGGTTAATAGTTGAAAAACTAATTGATAAAAAATAACTTTTAGTAAAACTAACTAAAAATATAAAATGACATAAAATGACATTTAAAAGAATGTATTCTATAATTAATTAATGAGTATATTTGGAAAACTTAAAAAAAAAACACTTAAAAAGCTACTCTAAGTAGTTTTTTAAAAAGCTAACTGATAAGCTACTTTTTGGTTTGTCAAACATGATAATTTAAAAAAACTCGAAAAATAAACTAACTTATCAGTTAGTTGTGGCGTGCCAAACACAGTCTAAGGTTATGTTTGACATACTAGCTGAAAAGCTAGTTGATAGCTAAAAAGTTACATGTTAAATAAAAAGTTAGCTGATAGTTGAAAAACTAACTGATAAAAATTGACGTTTGGTAAAACTAGCTCAAATATATAAAATTACATAAAAAGACATTTAAGAGTATTTGTTTCTATAATTAATTAAATGATATATTTGGAAATTTTAAAAAAGCTCTTAAAAAACTAATCTAATTAACTTTTCAAAAAGCTAGTTTATTAGCTACTTTTTAGCTTACCAAACACGACAACATAAAAAAGCTCAAAAAATAAGCTAGCTTATCAGCTAGTTGTGGCACACCAAACATAGCATAAATTCCAATTCTATCTTATAGGTTATCAAACAACATTAATTTTTTGCAATGCTGGCAACATTACCGATTTTGTAGGATGTCAGCCAATGTGGCGCTTAATGGCAGCTCTAGGTGTACTACATCACCCATGTATGATTCGAAATTGAGCCATTTTATACCCAGTTTGGTTGGAACCAGTTTTCAAACTTATCTCTCTTCCTAATAAAAGACTCTCTAAGGAGCCACATGTTTCCTTTCTACACCTCCTTCATGCCACGTGTCCTGTTTTAGTTCACCCTTTGTTTTACATTCCCGCTCATTTTGAGAGTACCTTAAGATCAATTCATATCCCACAAATTTTGCATACATTCCTCAATTACCGATGACCTATTGTTTATCCCAACAAACCAAGCAAAATAGTTTGAATTCTATTTATTAGTAAGATTTCAGAATCTTGATACATTCCAATTTTAAAATCCGACGGTTTCATATATACATCAAATCTCCTAATAATGTATTATAGACTTACAGTTCCCTGTTTATCGAAGGTAGGGTTATCACATCAGAAAACCCTCATCCCATTTCAAGATTTGAATATTTATGTGTCTATCGATGAAATTCGCTCCCCATATCTAAACAAGCCCTAAGTCTTCGCCAACAGCCTCTCCCCTGCTCCACCATGATTTACACGACTGATACACTTTCATAACTGCTATTTCACCATCACAACCATCCATTAAGGCCACCACTGAATAATCATCACAACCTACTCAAGAACAAAAAACAAGCGATGCTAAAAGGAGGGAAACGAAATCGATTTTTATTGGTTGATGTATTGGGTTTTGAATATGTAAGGGTATTGATGTTTTTTTATGTGGATAAAAGAAAGCAGAGGTTTTTCCTATAATGTTGGTTCCTAGGTTTTGTTTTTTGTACTCAGATTTCTAATCAGAAAATGTTTCCTTAAAGAACAACTTTCATAACTTTGAATGAACCGTCTGAGTGTTTTTGTAAGTGTTGGTTCTCAGATCTATTATCATTCGATTTGAGTATCTTGCTTTAGTTATTTTCTTTTTTAATTGCAAGTTAGAGATGTTTTTTTGATTTTATTCATGTTAGGTTGTAGAGATGTTATACAGGGATGAAAAAGGGTAGAAATGGAAATAGTTTGTGCAATTTGCTTATTGCAAGAATCATCCTAAATAAGTAACTAAAGGGTACCCCAATAACTCAAGGGTAAGGGTATAATCTATTTTCCCTAAATGTTATCGTATTTTAGTTAACATGCATAGTTCTTTCATGGATTTCATTAATGTTATGCAAATATTAACAAAGTATATTGCTATTTTTGGTAAAGTATTGCAAATATACTGTTGATTTGTTTTTATGTGTAAAACTTGTAAGTATGTTAGTTTGATTTTTCCTAGGAATGGATATTAAGTACCTGATGTGGTTAACCAAAGGGTGGCTGTAATTCAAGTAGAGCTTGGCGAGAAAACACCAGTTGAATGTATCAGTGAACTATACTCTTAATTTTTTTTGGGTTATGTAATAGGGGCGATAGTAATGATAATATTAAAGAAATGATGAATTGACGATTAAAAAAATCAAACCCTTTAATGCCAAGGTCCATTTTTTTCTTAAATTTGCTATATAAGTTAGCAATGTTTTGAAAATATTAAATATTTATTATCAAGAAATGTTCACATCCTTTAACAGATGATGCAAAATGGATAATTTTGAACACTTGATTTATTTATTTATTTTTGTTTTTTAGCTCCAATAGACCGTACTAATGATGGTTAGGAAGTTGTGGGATTGCCTGTAGTGCAATTTAATGTTGATTTGCTTTTTTGTGCCTTATTAGGTTATAATTTGTTTGTTCCAAAAAGGTTTCTAAGGAAATTTTATAAATTTAATTAACATAGATTGTTATATCGAGCAAAGGTAAAACCAATTAACCTTCTATTTTGTGAGAATTGAAAAAAACAAAAAGAATAATGAAAATAAATCCATAAACGTTATGAAGTATGCATTTATATAGATCTTACAAGTTCAATGAATAGTTTGAGTTTCTATTGGCAAGAGATTAAAAAGGATGGTTGAAAGTTTAGGATTATATGGAAAAATGCATTTATTTAGACTTTGAAGCCCAAAATATCATATTTCATGTACTGTTACCAAGCTTAGTAAATAGTTTATCTTTACTAAATGCATTGTGTTATGGATTAATGTCATAACGTCACTCTAGACTATAATAGTTATTGGTGTCAGAAGTTGCCTTTTTGGTTTGGAGCAAAAAGTATAAATTTTTAATGGTGTGGGTAAATTAAAAAAAATGATGAAAGCATAACTAGCCATTTTTCTGTATTTTCTCTATAAGTTTCAAAAGGTGATCCTTTTGACTGCAAAAGTCAAAGTTGACTTGCATCTTTTTTGAATGGTTTTCTATTAAAAAACTTATAATATTAGTATTAGATTTATGTTTTTATGATCTGTTCGTGATTTGTCAATATATCTTCATTGATTTTCTTATTATAGCATCTTACTTTCAATTTTATAACATTGTCATAGGGCAAAATGGAAGTGGGATGTTTTTTAGCACATAATTGAAACTTTTCATTGCTATTTTATCCTAACCGATAAATAGCAACTTGCTTTCATTGATTTGTTTATTATAGCATCTTACTTTCAACTCTACAAGGTTATAATATAAAATAATGAAAGTTGTGCCTATTTTAACCAATTTTAAGTACATTGTTGT